ATTATTATTATTGTTGTTACTGAATCATATTTTAAATTAATTAGAACTGCATAAGTAATATTATACTGCATTAATAATAAAAACAATGATGATAACTATACATATGCATGATGATGACTAATTCTGCATCAAATCTTGGACATAAAACAAGCTGTTTAAAAATAATAATATTAATAAAAGTAATAACAGATTATTAACAATAGATTATTGTTCGTATTTATAATATATAGTTAGTTTTTTAATTTGTAAAATAAATGTAACATTATTAGAGTATAACTATATCTGTACAAGTGTTCACAACCCAAATGCACTTGTCATTCAGTGATGCTACAATGCATTAGTACCTTAAATATATCTTTTAAACTCTCAAACACATCTGAAATCTGTAAAGACAGTCAAAGAATAATGAGGCAGGCTGATGCATTGAAATGAGTCCAATGCATATAAGCAACATGCAGAAATCTTCCAAAAACAAGCATACATATGTAAAAAACAAAATTACCACAGTGTACAATTCTTGATATTAGTCTGCTCCAATAAAGAAAAAAGAAAAGCTGAACAAAATACCAAACAGGGGCAGCAACAGGTGTGAGATGCTTGAATTAATATTGAAATCTGCAGACATCGAGTCAGCAACATAAAGCACAGACAGACTTGAGACGAGTTTGAGCACCACACCTGCTCCGAAGCCTCAGCTGAGCCCTGTGTTTCTGAGGTGGGATGGGAGAGGACACAGGGACAGCTCACCTGGACACGCAGGTCAGTCAGCTGAGACAGAACGTTCTGGAAGAGCTCACGCTCCTTCTGTGGCAGCTCAGACGAAAGGACCACCCCGACATATGAGCCCGGGGTGGGAGACATCATGTCGGGGAACATGTAGACTCCTGTGTTGCAGAGCAGGACTGGAGAGTCAGAGGACATCAGGGGGTACAGCCAGTCACAAACCTGGAAAAAATAAATAAATAACACAAAATTGGTGTGATGTAATAAAGTCTAACCTTTAACCTGCAAAATCAGGGCAGATATACTGGCTGATAGGAGTGCTGTTGTGCTCTTATAAACGTATGAGCAATAAAACATTGATAAGCATGAGGATGTTGATCCAGGAACATGTTTTCACTTGTGTTTTTAGCGGATATTAATACACTTAAGCAAACAGTCCAGCCTAAAGTACTTTAATAATACAAAACCGTTACTAAATAAATAATGTTAATGCTTTGTCCAATATAAACCCTCCATTTCAGGTTGGAATATACTACTTTAGTATTAATATCTGCTTAAAATATTAATTTTGTCCAAACAATACAGTCTTACTTAATAATACATGGCAATGCTAAATCAGAAATATCCAAATCACAATTCTTATTGGAATATATTGCTTTAAATCAACTTTAAAATTGCCTTACAATCTAAAAGCTTTACTTTTCTGATCGTATAAAATAAACTTTGTACTGAATAATTAACCAAATTTGTAACTATTGTGACTAATGTAACTAACTGTTTATCAAAATACACATTAGGGCTGCGCAATTCTGGCTAAAAAGAGAATCATATATATATATATATATATATATAATAAATAGTAATAATTATTATTTTATTAATAAATTTACTATTACTAATTTAATAGATATTAATTATTATTATGCAATGGTTAACATTTTTTAATTATAAAAATGCATGATAAAAATCCCCACATATTCCGTATTATTAATTTATTTGTGTAACTTTAAATATCAATTTACAGCTAATTTTAAGCTATGGATTTTTTTTTTTTTTTTTAATGACACGCACAGATGAACTGTTCACCACAAAACTATTATTGTGAGCTCACAAAACCATGAGGTTAGTTTTGATTATTGCAGACTTTATATATATATATATATATATATATATATATATATATATATATATATATATATATATATATAAACTTTCATTTTAAGCATTTTAAATTTATTTTTGTGTAACTTAAAATATTAATTCAGAGCTATGGATTTTAAACCAGCCATAATCCAATACTCAAAGAAGCCTTACAAGATCCAACCTTCTGATTATTTGTTTTCCACAAATATGTAATGGATTAACTTGTAATGGAGTGAGTCACAAATGCATATTGCTTTCCCTACACTCTCTCCAGAGAGGATTAGGATGTGACATGCAGGTCTGGATTTCCTCCTAAAGTTGAGACAGTGGACAGCTACTGTAAGCAATCCGATTCATTCTTCTCGTCCTCATGACTACTAGCATTAAATTGGATTACAGGCAAAGCCTACAGCGCAGCAACTGGATTTTCTTTATTCAGCTTAATGACACAGCCAATCTATGACCTCAATGCCTGTGTTAAGAGACGGTGCTCTTTATATTAGGACACAGGTCGATGGTACGGTATTTGCATTACTACTATTCAGTATAGAAATTCTATACAATTACCTCATAATGTAATGATCTCAGAATTGTGTGTTTACATTAGTTATCTTATCTAGCATTATCGCAAACAAAATCAGGGTGGTGTTCAAAGTGTACTCTTGTCACAATATTATCAAATGTTTTCACAAAATGACAGAAGAGTGGTGTTCAAAGTGTACAAAGTAGTGTGTTATACCAGGTTGTTTATATACTGTCTGTCATGAAGATGAATAATTCAGGAAATTACCATCAGGTGATAAACTTCATTCTGTACCACCGGATGACCGGGGCTTTTTCAGGATGACATCACTCAGTGAAAGCCTATTGGATGAAAGTGGTGAGCATACACTCACATGACACTGTTAAGAAATAGTGTACGAGGCTGTCCTCATTAAGGGCAACACCAACTTAAGAGCACTAGGGTCAGACAAACCCTTGTGAAAGTAGGTTACAGGACACCAAGAGTTGAAAACAACACTACTTGCCCATTCTATCCAAATGCCAGGAATTGAACAACATGATTATGTTCATGTCTATGAGCCCAAATTTGCCTTAAGTATGCCATGATTCACCCAAAAACTGTATTTTAAATTGTAATACTACTATCTTGAAGAACATGATGTCATCATAGTGAACTAAAAGACAAAAAGTAATTAGGAATTAGTTATTAAAAGCTATTATGTTTAAAAATGTGTTGAACATTTCTATTTGATAAACTTTCATTTATTCATTTTCTTTTCGGCTTAGTCCCTTCATTTGGGGTCACAACACAGTGGAATGAACCGCCAACTTATTCAGTATGTTTTACGCAGAGGAATAAATAAATAAATAACGTCACATAAATTGAGTAAATAAACTAAACCAAAATACATACATACAGAACATGCAAGACAAAAAACAAAACACAAAAAGAGGGTGGGGGTTGCTAACATCAAAACCTTAATTATTATTTTATCTCATGACATGTTTGCTAGCATTATGAGTTACAGAAATTGAGAAATATTCCCCGTTCATCAAAATAAATTTCAATCCTTTCATGCAAACTGTACATCTTTTCAAAAGCTGTAAGTCGCCCTAACCCTAAGATCCACTCAAAGATCGGAGGTCTACTGAATGATTTCCAGTTTTTGTCAATCACCCGTCTGCAGAATTGGAACTTTTTTATATTTTTAAAATAGGTCCCATCTGCTTAAAATGACATTTTATATGACAGTTAAATTATATTTATGTCTTAACCTTAATTGGAAAAAAGTGCTTAATTGTTACGTCAATAAAATTGCTAAATAATGTCAGATTAAATATAATAATAATGATATATATAGGAACTCATAGCTGTATACATATGCCAGACAGTAGTACTCTGGTAAGGTGTTTAAATGCTCTAAATATTGTCCATATTCACTGGGAAATTATTACAAAAATCCATTTTCAAAAGCGATGTACTTATTTATGCGGAAGACATCTGATGGCAAATCAAATAATTTTTGAATAAACATATTTTTATGTTTTAGGTAAATGCATGGCAAAAAAAATGCAATTGCAGCATTTTAGGTAACATCAGAATTGGAACTTTTAATGTTTTTAAAATAAGTCTCTTCTGCTTAAAATGACGTTTTATTTGACAGTTAATTTAGATTTATGTGATGAAGTTCCCCTTCAAATTTCCAGAGGGTCACAACAACCAGATCTATGCAGAAAACTACTTCACCTGTGTCGCCTGTGCTTTTCAGATAAAAAGTCATAGGCTGTTTCTCAATTCCAAGAATGCAGAGACCGGACTTGCCTTCTTGTGGAGAGCGATCTTGACAGGTGTCCTCGGAAGAACGAACTCGGAAGATCAAGAGAACAGAGAACGCGTTCTCTGAGGAATGAGATGCTGCATTCCTCCTGATGGTCACTTGACCTTCACAGGTTTTTAATGGAAAATTATTTAAACATTACAGCATTCATACAGCGATTTATTGTTTTTCCCCTTTTCAAAATAGATACTATGCTTAAAAACATTATAAATATGCGATGCACAATATAAATAAAACAGATTTTAATACGAATTTCAGCAAACAATCACCCTTAATGTGTTTATTCCTTTATTAAGATGTTTATTTTAATGTTTATATTCACTGTTTCATTTAGGGAAACTCCTGAGGAAATAAGTGAAAATATCTCTGAATTTAATAATTAATCTAAATAAAATGCTGCGCTTCCCACCTCCAGTTGCAATGACTTCTAGAGCAAGATCGGTGCTCAAGTCTGCATCGATGCGTTCTCGATATCAAGAACACATCCAGGAAGTTTCACGCGTCCTCTGTTCTTGGGGTCTTAAGTATTGGAACTGAACTTTGGCAGCTGATGATGACGTTACACGAGCACACGCGGACGCAAGACCGCTGAAGAACGCATATTGAGAAACAGCCATAGTTTTAGGGACTATCACTGCAAGTAAACACATTCAAACCACATTAAACGTGACCAAATATGTTTTCTAAATATTTTTATTCATAAATGCTTATTCATAAAAAATATAATTGTTGTGTGATTATTATTTATGATATATAGTGCTATGGGGCTAAGTAATTGAATAACCCTGCAAATGAATGCTTAAAGGCTCTATTTACAGTACCTGTTCAGACAAAGCGAGTACAAATACAGAAATTCATCTCACAACTAGGCCCAACGTTGCAATATTACAACATTTCCCTAAAAACTTACCAAAATGTAAAAAAAAATATTTAATTCCTACATCAGAGACCCCCTAAAACAATATCTGAGATGTCAAAGAAAACTGCTCATTTTATTTTCTACATTTGGGTCTTACAGGGTTAACCCCAATTGGAAAACAGTGCTTAAATGTGACATCAACAAAAATGCTAAATAATGTCACATTATATGATATTGATATAAATAGGAACACATAGCTTTATACAATTGCCAGATAATAGTAATCTTAAATGTCAATACATTAGCTTGTGGATTTATTTTTTCCATTGATCCAAACAGGGACTGTTTTTGTAAATTCTTACCTGGAGAAAGGCAGGTGGTCTGTTGGGAATCCTTTCTGAGTGCTCACTGGTGAACTTCACGATTCGCAGGTACCCTGGGTACGAAGGAGCGCTCACGTGCCCCTCAGGGGTGACAAAAAAAATCTGCACCCCTTGAGGAAGAAAAAACAGTTCCTCTCCATCCTCCCCCAGACTACTCCCAGCAGGTGTAGAATTAGACGTCTGACTGTAAAACTCATCGCCAACCACAGAGAGTTCGCCTGAATCTGTGCCATAGGAAATGGTCAGGTGTCCGTCAGCAGCTTGAGGGGTGTATGCAGGGGGCTGCTCGCATAATATATTGGGCTGCACTGTAGGAGACGTCTGCCCACCTGAAGCCCCTGCGACCCTGCCGTTGATGGTTTGGGGTGGTGTTGGCCTCTGTGGCATCACCTTTGGGACTTCAGGGTAGAGTTTCTGAGCAGCTGCTGTGCCATTCGAGACTTCGTTTGGAGCCGGAGTAGTTTCTAATATGGCTAGACGGGTGGTGATGTTGCTGAGGGTCTCCTGCATCTTATGTTGCATTTGTCTAGCTGATTCCCAGGATGGACCCACACACTCGACGCCCTGCGAGGGCACACTGATAGCCCTGAGGAGGTGCTGCCGCCCCTGTTGATACAGTTTGAGAGCTTCTTCTTTGTGCCCAGCTTCATCCTCGTTCAATCCTGTATTGATGCATTCAAATGCCTTCTCGTAGCCATCTTTGATCACCTGCAGCCTGGCGTGATCAAATCGATCTTGCTTTGCTTGCTCCATGACTGAAAAGACAAGTAAGAAGGCAGTCAAAGTGTTTTAATATGGCATCTTTACACAAGTCAGGACTGTTTCTATGCCACACAAGTACATGATTTTCTCCTGTAATGTGCTATATTTTATATTCTTTAAATATAACTTTTTGTCAGCATGGCCTGAGCATGATCTGAGGCAAATCTGTTGAAATTGGACAAACGAGTATGAAAATGTATATTTTCAAACTAAATCGAAATGGCGAACAGGAAGTTATGGACAATCTGGTATCAATGTTTGCAAAACTATCTAAGAAATATATCAAGATCAATCTCATGACAATGAGGTCAACAATGCAGAAGTTATTAGCATTTTTCTTTACAACTTTTGGCCACAAGATGATGCTGCTCTGGAACTTTTGAGCACTTTAAGGGAATTAAAGTGACGTTCAATGTGTTCGTAAAATATAGCTTTTTTTGGCAAAACTCTAAATAACTGACGCCCAAAATGGCGAACATGGGAAGATATAATTTGACTTAGAATTTCACTCTGATTGTAATGAGACACTTTTTATTTTTATTTTAGCTAAAACGTAGATGAGATACAAGCGGAAATAGCCATTTTTTAATATCTGCTGGCCACTAGGTAGCACTGTGCAGGCAACCTCAAATCATAGTTGTCATAACACACCAAGTTTGGTGTAAACAGATTGTTTTCACATGACATCATTCATTACACACAAAATTCAGATTAAAGAACCAAGCATTGCAGAGATATTTTTGCATGCTTTCTAATGATTTTAATTTTCTGTTAATCCAGAATATTTGAGTAATCCAGCATGCCAGCATGGTCTAGTGATGATCTGACCCAATTTTGGTTAAAATTGAATGAAACATCTAGGACGAGTTTGAAAAAACACTATTAACAATATAAAAAACCTTACATTTTTTTTTATTTATTTTGTGTCAGTTTTAATTGACAAAAGTCATGATTCGGGGAAAACTAATTTTGATTCTGCAACTTACAGTTCACAAGTTATTGGCATTTAAAATAAGCAACTTTGGACAAGTGGTAGCGCTAGAGAATTTGAGGTTCCTGAGAGGTTCCAAATTTCCTCTATCAGCGTACCAAATTTCATAACTTTTGATTGAACACCTATTCTGACACTTGTTTCCAGGCCTTGAATTATTAATTGAGGTAAAATGTGATTTTATTTTCGCACATTCGTTCAGTGATAGCTTGTAATTTGCTCCATATATTGTTTACCATGGTAACGTTACTTTGAATATTGGGTCTGAAATCACATGTAAGAATGACGTAAAACAACATTAGCACTACTTATTTGACTGTAAACAATGCTATTCTAGTCATTGGCTCCTAATTTGATTTCACTATTTATTATTTATAAATAATAACGTTACGTTTCTGAAATTATATTATTAGGAAGAAAGCCTGAATGTGTGAATATAAAACCAACTTTACCTCAATTTACCATTGGCCAGCTCACGTTGACGTAATCAACCACGAGCGTATCATACAATGAGGATTTACAAACAAAACACCTGCTTAACATTGACTAATGACATTCAGACTTACAGTAAAAAGAGGCCAGCTAGCAGTTTATCGAGTGAATCTTGAAACACGAGAATCCTATTAAGTATTAACCCTACAGAATCAAACATTGTACTAGCTAACACCCTTTCAATACGCACACACGTTATCCTTTAACTCTTACTGTTTACGTCAGTTGTATTTAAAGCACTTATCAACGCATTTCTAATATGATAACTCACCAGGAGATGTGATAAATGAAGTGAAATATAAAGCAATTCCGGGTTTGTTGACTGAACAGCTTCAGCTCTCTGACAGCCGAGCAGCTGCCCGACTCCTGCTTGTCTACTGCGTGACTGACTGAAGAAGTTTACTATCGATGCAGATTGCAGCGCGTCCACTACCGCTTTCGATCACATGTGGCTTTCTGAGGTTCCTGATTGGTTAGATCAGTCTAGTTCTGGCATTGTTGGCTTTAAGTTTGTTAAAACGTCAATTTAAAGTCTTTATTTTGGGACCAGTGTTGGGTAAAGTTACTTTTATAAGTTATACATTGCAATCTTGCGTCAATTAAAAAAAAAAAATTATAAATAAAAAAGTTACTTTTTTAAAGAAAGCAAATTTGTTTCTTAGACTTAGATCATTTTTGAGTACTGTAATGTGAACGTATGTGTTATGTTAGGCTTAATATATTACTTAACTTCACCCAACATTTTTTTTCTGACTGAAGTTATTCCAAAATATGCAAGGCTGATTTCTCTATATTTGTTCAAATGTTGGAACTTCAGTATATAAAAAAACATATTTATATTTATTTATTTAATTTAATGTAATTGTTTCGGTAACTCTAAAAACTTAGACCCCCAAGTTATTAATTAAATTGATTATCATTTTATATTACTTTATATTGCCCCCCTTTGAATTATAATTATTATTTTTTAATATTTCCCAAATTATGTTTAACAAAGCAAAGAAATTTTCACAGCATGTCTGATAATGTTTTTTCTTCTGGAGAAAGTCTTGTTTTTTTTTTTTAATTTTGGGGACAAAATTTTTTAAGGACAAAATTATAGGCCCCTTTAATCTAATTTTTTTTTACGGTCTACAAAACAAACCATCATTATACAATGACTTGCCTAATTACCCTAACCTGCCTATTTAACCTAATTTACCCAGTTAAGCCTTTAAAAGGCACTTTAAGCTGTATAGAAGTGTCTTGAAAAATATCTAGTAAAATATTATTTACCGGTACTGTCATCATGGCAAAGATAAAATTAATCAGTTATTAGAAATGAGTTATCAAAAGTATTATGTTCAGAAATGTGTTAAAAAAGAATTGTGTATTATTTTTAAATATAAATTTATATTAAATGATATTATATTTATTAATAAATAATAAAATATTGTTATATAAATTAGGGCAACGGAGTGGTGCAGTAGGTAGTGCTGTCAACTCACAGCAAGAAGGTCGCTGGTTCGAGCCTCGGCTGGGTCAGTTGTCTGTTCTGTGTGGAGTTTGCATGTTCTCCCTGCGTTTGCATAGGTTTCCTCCAGGTGGTTTGGTTTCCTCCACAGTCCAAAGACATGTGGTACAGTTGAATTGGGTAGGCTAAATTGTCTGTAGTGTATGAGTGTGAGTGGGTGTGGTGGATGTTTCCCAGAGATGGGTTGCGGCTGGAAGGGCAGCCGCTGCGTAAAACAAATGCTGGATAAGTTGGCGGTTCATTCCGCTGTGGCGACCGCAGATTAATAAAGGGACTAAGCCGAAACGAAAATGAATGAATAAATAATATAACTGTAATTGTTATAAAGCAACCCTCATTATGTTTTGTTTTTTGTTCTGTTTTTTTGTCTGTGTATATACTGTACACAGTTTTCATGAATAATAAAAAATATTAAAGCAACTAAAAAGTGTTTACAGGTAAAGCTAACAATGTTAACCACTCCTCATTCCAGTACATTTAACTGTAGATTATCCATTTCTCAATCTCCCTCTAAATTACACGTTTCATTTCTCACATTTATTAGCCACAAATGTTGTTTTTAACACATGGAGTTATTGTAAGGAGGTTTTAATTTGTAAAGGAAGGAATTTCATGCAGCCTTTGAAAGGCTAATAAATTTCCAGAGCATGTTTTTCTCTCTTTTATAATTAATTGGATCAATAACTAAAAGCTGTTTTCTGTCTATTTGTTTTCAAAATGTTCAAAATGAAAAGCAGCAATTTATAAAAATCATCATGTGCTTTTGAACTTTGAGATGTTTGTGTTTATGTAAACAGATTAATGCCAGACAGTTTTAGGTGTAAAGATAATTCTTTGCACGCAAACAAAAATCACAATTAATTATAAGCAAATGATAAAAGTAACACAATAAATAGCCATTAAACTATGATGTAGCAAGAGTGAAATAGTATTTTCCTTCATTTTTCTTTATTTATCCATATTTTTTATTAAAAAAAGAGGTTAATATATTTCATCTTTCTCATGCTGTCTAACTATTTATCTTAAATAAAATTAATTACATTTATTAATTTTTTCTTATATTTTACATTATTTTTAATCAATTCAGATGTAAAAAAATATCATAAATATCATTTTAATATGTATTAAGGTTATTAAGATCATACATTTAGTTTTTTAGCACACTTTTGTTTTATTGTATTATTTTTTTTTTGGTATGTTTCACAGGATAGTAATCTTTGTTGTATTAATAAAACAAATGCAACCCAGTTCTGGGAAACACCCATACACACTCATTTACACTTATACACTATACGGTCAATTTAGTTTATTCAATTCACCTATACCACGTGTCTTTGGACTTGTAGGGGTAACCAGAGCACCCAGAGGAATCCACGCAAACACAGAAAGAACATGCAAACTCCACACAGAAATGCCAAGGCGAGACTCAAACCAGCGACCTTCTTGCTATGAGGGGACAGTGCTAACCACTGCGCCACCATGTCGCCCTAAAGCACAAATTCTTTATAAAAAAAATTTAAGTAGACAACCTGAAAAAAGATTTTTCTCATGAAGCACTCATTTGTTCATTCATTCAGCAGAGTATAGTAAAATATATGCTGTATGTTAATGACTGATATCAGCATGCATACCAGATAGAAAAAAATTGCATATTGAGGGATGTAAACACTAACAATTGTAACTTATTTCCTGTTTTACATATTCAATTTTTATAGCTGAGAATCCAAAAAGGTCCACATATTGATACATATTGTTATAATGGTTGTTTTAAGGTTAAGTTATGATTGAACTGCCTCTTGTTATAGTTCTAAAATAGCTTGATAACAAGCAGGAAATGTGACATCACCACATCAACCCCCATGCTAAACTTAGATTTGGCCCACCATCACGATGGGAAGAGAGGAAGAATGGGCAATTATCATAAAAAGTCATTTCAGCATTTGATGTAACATTTTGCTTGTTTGTTTTGTAAATGATTCAGATTTTTTTTTTTATATAAATACTGTCATTTGACAGATAGAGAGCAATGCACAAGAAATCAGCATGCAAATCAAAGCAAAGGCAAGTACAGCTTAGTGCATTCAGCATTGAACTGTGTGATTGTTTTTTTTTATTATTCAATTTAAAATATATATATTTTAACTATTTTTCATCGTTTTATTAATGGGACTGTTTAAGTTTTTACTGTAATAAGTGTATTATATACATTTTTAAATATACTGCATTATATAGTTAATATAATTTAAACCAATGTTTTGTAGTTGTTTTTTTTCAAATATTAGGAAATAAATTAGGAAAATACTAATAGAAACTTTAATGTATTACAGTTTGGTATTTTTACCTTCGGCCCACTACCCTCAATCAGGTTTTTATCCCATCAAAAGAAAAAGTTTGGGCACCCCTGGTCTATAACCAATGGGCTATATGCAACTTTCCATTGACTTTCCATTATAAAGTTGTCATGTTTAAGATCTAATTTTCTTAAAAATCAGCATCTTCACTGCCAATATATATACAATAGATATACAATATGAAATGGGTCTCAGATCAGAAAAGAAGCACTGCATTAAATTCCATTTCCCCTACCATGTCTTTAAAATATGACAGTTTGTTTTATCTCAGTATTTTCAATAGAATTTCTGCGCTAGTTTGTTGCTACTGACGGCGCTAGGGGTTACAACTGTCTTTCATCTCGCTTTATGCTTGAACAACTAAATGAATGCTGAAGTCTATTTAACTGAATGTATTGTGATTACATTACAACATCTATGCTGTAAAAACAACCTTGTGAAATTGAAAATAGTCAAATTAAGCTTTAACTGAAAGATCGTTGGCTTTAGCTGTGCACAGAGCCCATATTATAATACAGTAGTGCTCAAACTGTGGTACACGGGCTTCCTTCTAGTGGTACGCAGAAGAATCAAATATGTCATATGTGCATGCTACATATGTTTAAAATTGTATCAAAAATTATTTATATACGAATATAATGACATATAGCCTATATTACCAACTGTTGATAAATAGGCTACTATACGTTAAAACTTTACATTTAAGTACAGGAGTTTTTTTTTTTTTTTTTTTGTACTTTTTAAGAACAGTAACCTATCATACTTTTACATATAAGCACAGTACATTGTTAATGTTCAAACTATCAATGATGTTTAAAGTGGCTGACAATATAATGCTTGATAACAGGAATGAATCTGCCTCGTTTTTAAACTGTACAGAGCTGTAGCTGCTTCATTGGGCCTACTACGCTTCTGTATTTCAATACTGCTATGGTGGTACTTGGAGAGACATTTTTTTTTTTCTGAGGTGGCAACGTTACTTGAAAAAAGTTTGAGAATCACTGTTATAATATATAGCCTCTGACCGACAGAGGGCGCTGTATGCACATGTTAACCTCCAGCAGTGACGGGGTGTTTGAGTCCACTCAGTCCGTGTTTAGCTTTGCGCTGCTGGACGTACAGTACACTGGAAAACACCTGGAGATAGAGGTATGCATAAACTTCAGGCTGAGAAAACCTCTGGCTGTGTTTCTCCACAGATAAAGGCAGGGGAAAATACTCAAGACCTGAGATTTTGAGACAGTCGGACAGATATTTGGCGACGCTCGCGGAGTTCTCAAGGTGCATTGGACACATCTGCTTCATACATTACTGCGCATTTAAACAGCCTTGTGGTTAACATTAGCAACGGCATCCACCGACCAGCTGAACAGCACAAAACACTGTGCTTCCCACAGACAAAACAAACTACAAGCTGCAGTTTAAGTTGAAAGGAGGTTATTTTAATAGCCAATAAAATGTATTTTAGGTCGAGGGTCATGTAAATATAGGACTTCGCTCGATTAATAAAGGCTA